TGGAATGACCGGCAGCGCAGTTATGGTATCTAACCACCACCACCATCTCCACCACCACCACCATCAGCAGCAGCAACTACATCCACAGCAGCAGAGCGGTGCCGCTTGCGCCCCACTTGGAACTCACAGTATCCACTCGGAGAACCAGCAGCGAGCCCCAGGAAGTAACGCCTCTCCCGACACACACACACCATCCCTCGGTTTCCCTTACCACCCTATCCATTTCCAATCCCATCCCCCAGAGCCCTCTCTACACCCCATCCCCCTTTCATACCACCCCTAACCCACTTACTCATCCTGCCTCCACCCTCCCACACACCCATGAGACTTCCCCACCCTCTCCACTTTCTCACCCGTTCTCACCCTCCGTAGTACCTCCATGGTCCTCGTCTTCTCCATTCCTTTCACTTTTCTTCTCACTCACCCTTATTCCTGGACACCCTTCCTTTCTTCTGTACTCCCTCCCCGTCATTACACCCACTCGCCATTTTCGTTATCCCCATCTCTTCTGTTTCCCTCCTTTCCCCCACCTTTCTCCCTCCCTCTCTTTCTCTTCTCTATCTACTGTGGCCTTATCTTATGAATATCGGTAGCACACTGGGTGAAAAATTGATCCTCCCCGCCTGTCTGTGGACGCTGCCACAGCGCATTAGCCTGCGTGTGATGTGTGTGTGTGTGTGTGTAAGCTTGCTGCTTGTGGGAGACACAGAGGGAGGAAGGGAGGAGTGAGAGGAAGGAGGGTAGGAGGGATATTTGCATATCATCAAAGTAGGAAAAGGGAGTGTAATGAGGAGAGAATATGTGTGTGTCTGTTGGGCGTATGTGTGTATTAGGCCTGTTGTTGATGGGTTGGGCTTCAGTATGTGTGAAATGAGAGAACAAGACCAAGGGAATAGGGTATAGGAGGCAAGATAGACTCAGATGGTGTTAGATGTGTGTGTGTGTGTGTGTCTGAGAAAGAGAGGACAATCAGAAAACGTACAGTTTTCCTCTCACATGCCATTCTTCTTGCTCCCATAC